GTCAGATCCCAGGGGTAGTGCAGTGCCAGTCAGATCCCAGGGGTAGTGCAGTGCTAGTTCCTCCATGGATCTGGTTCCTTTATTTACGCTGATAAAAAAATTGGTACTTTTGTTTTCACACAATTTCGACTGAATAGGATGTAACAACTCTATTTTGCATTGATATACTTTTTCTATGTTAATAAACAAGTGTTTTTATGAAGTTGTTAGCAGATTTCTATGAATTCATATCTGGGACTGTTATCTAGTAGCTGTTTGTAGAGGTGGGCAGCTGTTAAAACCGGGGTGGGTTATACAGTATTGGCATAGAGCTCAGCTAGCAACATGTCCTCTTATTCCTGCGACCGGTGTGCTGGCTCTGGGTCATGCTGGTGATTGATCCTGGGACAAGCGCTGGTCTTTAACCTGCATGTCTGAGAGGTTCAGAAAGCTGCCAGGGAACTGCAGGCCATTCCTTTAGTCCTGAAGGGCCAAAGGTCACAGAGTAGCCAAGGCAGCCCGCTGTGCCCTGGACAGAAACACTTGTACCAGGAATGTGCTGTGACTCCATGTTAACAAACCAGCCTCCCAGGAGGCCCTGTGTTCATTCTGGGGTGTCGTCTGTGGAAGCACTGACATGTCTGTATCTGCCGATTGAGACAGCGCCTGTCATCTTCACAGACACCGAGCTGTTAAGATTCTGTTTTCCTTGTGCAAGCTGTGCAGTGTTGGAGGATGGTGAAGGTCACTGGCCTGGGTCGGTGCTGGTTTGGGCTTGTCTCTAGGCAGCGATGGAGAAGGGTGTTTCGTGCCGCTCGATGAGGACTATTTCTGGCAGAGCTGGTGTGGCGGTCCTGCTGGCCAGCTCTGCATGGCTCTGCAGCTGTGACACAGGGCCTGACCCGCTCCAGCAAGGCAGCGCTCTGTGACACTGTGAGGCCGTCTATCACAGCTGGACGTCGGGAGGATCCTAAATGTGTTGTTTTCTCCCGCGTATATGCTGTGAGGCACACTGACAAGAGCCTTGAGAAGAGTTTTTGTGTAAAGTCTCTATATAATGATGCTGAAGAGCTGGTTAATTATCTGCAGTTCTGCTGCGTTATCCTTTACAGCGTGTCAGACAGAAGGTCCCCAGCACTGCCACATAATCTGATTCCCTGGTCTTTAGCTCCTCAGTAAACATGTTACAGAAATAACGTGTAAATGTCTTCATGCTATCATACCTAGCCCTTTGAAAACAAGCTGTTGTGCAAAGACCTGGGCTCAGAGTGTGAGTCTGCAGTACAGTGGGAATTTCTGCAGTTTTAGGTGCAGTGTGGATTGTCTCACGTTTCACACGTGCTTAAAATGACTGGATTATGAACTTGAAGGGAATGAGTTGTGGTCAGTCGTGGTCCAGTTGCCCTCCTCTGCTGCCCCCCCTAGCTGCTGAGGGGCAGGGGGTTTGATGAGAGGTGCAGGAGCACAAAGATGTGCCTAAGTGTGGGTCTTTACAAACAGCTGACATTTGAAGGTTGTCATAGATGATGTTCCACATACATATTCATAATCACCAGCAAGCAGGTCTTTGCATTTCAATAACTTGGTTTAGGTCTTGGCTATTTATATGGGTTGCCCCGGTAACAGTAAGCCTGCAGCTCTCCTCCTTGATGTGTCTTTCTTGGCACTTAGATTGCCTACCTAGTGGCATTTCCTTCCATGTACACATGTACAAACACCCATACATAAGCATACACTTGTACACACACACACACACATGCACACATGTACGTGCACATAGATGTCCAGGCAGACACACATGGTCTGTTCTGGTCTCTCCTGAGCACGTCACCTGCCATGCCTATCATGTATCGTAGTTCATGATGACGCACTTCCAAAGGCGCTTCTCTGCTTTTGTGGTTTCTGTCTTCAGATTTAAAGTGTTCCACTCATTTGTTTGTTGTAAAACTTGTCATATTGTACCTAGATAATGCTTTCCAAACTCCTTCCTTCCAGTGGAACCAGTTGCTCTTTTATCCTTACTGGAGAGAAAGCTGTTGTGTTTTGAAGCACCTTTGTCAGACTTTAATATATGTTGAGGTCCATTCTTTGCATAAATAAATGCAATGGTGCACCAAGCTGGAACAGATTACAACAGCCCAGTTCAGATCACATTATCCAGACAAGTGCGTTTATATTGTTTCAGGTAGTGTGGGTGTGCGCCTGCAGCAACACTTATTAATATACCAGCTGTTCTGTCCAGACAAGCCTGATGCACCATTGTCTGTGTTTTGAGTGTTGCTGAAGGAATTCAGGGAGTCGACCTCTTTGCTGAAATATATTAACATTTTCCTGAACAGTAGCTGAGCAGAGATGTGGCCTTGGATTGTAGTGGTCAAGTGTCAGAATTTGAATTGTCTCAATGGAAACCTATTTCTCTGTCCAAGTTTTTTACTAATTGGGTGAGGAGGGGGTCTTTGTAGGCGGTGGTGGCGTTCTGTTAAAGGAAGTAGAAGACGTTCCTTAAGAACTGGCTAACAATGGACCACAGAGCTGAATGTCACGCTCGGGCCTGCGAGTTCTGTGGTGCACATTCCTTCAGGACACTCCCGGGGGAATTCAGGGGCTCCGGAACCAGCCGGCCATGTGTGTGGGCGGCCTGCTTTCTGAATGTGGAATATGAAATACAGGGGCCCGGAGTTAGAGTTATGGACCCTCTGTATCCATCCCTCCATTGTGCATGTGCAGAGGATTTAAAAAGCTGCACAATTTCAGTCTTTGCTCTCTAGCCGAAGAGCGGAGTGCAGAGCTCCTTTGCAGGCTCAGCCTGGAGATTTCGCCTGCCCTCCAGTCCGTGTCTAAGTGCTATGCCTGCTGTACATGTCCTCTGTACCACGTCCGGGGGCTGCCTCCTGGCAGCGGTGGGCCGTGGTCTGTCCATGCTCACCTCTGCTCTCCCTCTGCT